CATTAGATTCGAAGTCAGTAGCCTAATATATTTATTGCACAATTACAACAAATGGTTAATTCACTACAAACTAAGAAAACAAATGTGTACTCCCTCCATTTTTATTTAAGTCCGCGTGTTAGCATTGGTCAAAGTCAAGTTTTGTAAACTCTCAGAAAGTTTATAACAAAAAATATTAACATATACAATAACAAATAAATACCATTAGATTCATTATTGAATGTACTTTCACATCATACATATTTGTTATGGTAAATGTTTATATTTTTCTATAAACTTGGTCAAACTTTAGGAAGTTTGACTTCGGTCAAACCTAATATGCAGAGTTAATAAAAACGAAGGGAGTACTAGTAGTTACTAGTACTACTCGCTAGTTGCTTAGCCGAATCACCCAGCACGCCACACGGCGAGTTCAATGGCACAAAATTTTGAGGTCGGCGGGAAAATCTCTCGCGACCCTGATTCGAGCAGTGGAAAGTTACCATCATAGCCTTCAGAACAGGCCTACGGATGACACTTGGTAGGTGGCTGTTTTCGTAACTTTAGGTTCACCCTACCCAGCCAACCCCACCCCGGCACCCAGAGTAGTACGGACGTCTGAGTAGTACACCTGAATACTCCCCATTTTCTATCCCCATCGCAAAATAGACTTCTCCACGACACCGCAGCCTTCGTGCTCCTCCCCTTCTACATCGGCGCACTCGTCCACCGCAGCGCATCTGCCTCATCGATGACCTCATACGCCGCACTGGAGCCAGTCTACCGTCGTCGTCGTACACGGAGTCTCTTCCCCGGCACCGTCTTCCACGGTCTCGGATCTGCTTCCCAGAAGCCGACGCCAAGCGTAGAAGCACCACTGTCGTGGACAACGAACTGACTCCCGTTGCCGACCGAGGCCGCGCAACCATCGTTCTCCTCCTCGATTGGTAATGTGTATATTGAATCACTTAGCAGTACATGTGCAGTTCCAATTTTGTTCATACCTACCCTTCAAATTTCCTGGTTGCTATTGTTCCCGTAAAAGTAATTGGTTATACGCTCCATTGTCCAACAGATATCAGCTTATAATTGTGTGTCGCTCCTGTATGGCGTTGTGCTTGTGTAGGTTCTTCATCTGCAACCCAGTAGTGTGACAAATGATGGAAAGTTTACACAATATTCCATCATGTAGCCATGTGCAAAGAAAATGGAAATCAGTAATCAAAATGAAGGTTTACACAATATTCCATCATCAAACAAGTCATTAAGCAAATCTCAAAATTCAACAACTGAAAGAAAAGGCTAGGAATCCAAGGGCTTGAAATTCTTTAGTTTCACACTTCTTATTTATTTAAGACCTTTATGCCTAGTCCAATTGATCCATAATAAAAGGCTAGGAATCCAAGGGCTTGAAATTCTTTAGTTTCACACTTCTTATTTATTTGAGACCTTTATTTACTTGAAATTCATAATGAAGGTCTACGCTCACCCCTTATATACTTGAAAATTTGCTTCACGGGGGAAGATTGACCAAAGCGAAAGTCTACTTCAGCCGCGGTTATCTTGGGGACAAGTGAGTTATCCACGTCGTCTCATTTGCGGGCATCCTTCCTAAGAACAACTTCATTCTTGATAGCATCACGGAAATACAAGTCATCACGAACTTGATGATGCACACCTACAGAAAATGATAAGCGAACAGTTAGTCTAGTTGTTGGAGAATTTTGTAAAAATAAGAAATATAAGAGATATTGACCTTTAAGAAAGTGAACATTGTGGCAAGTTGAAGAGTAATGTATGCATAAAGTTGTTGCCCCCGTGCTAAGAAGAGTTTTTGTTATCAATTCTCAAGTTAGTAATAACATGACACTAAAATGGTAGGACACTTCTTAAGGAAAAAACTTACTGGATAGTTGATCAACCTTCATCAAGGTTGCCATGATTAAGCCAACGTTTGCTTCGGCAGAAAGAAGTTCATTCCAATGGCGTTCAGCTAGTTCTTAAAAAATGTGTAGGAAGATAATTCGCATGCCAGTGTCGATCAGTGCTACTTCCCTCATGCGTAGAGGGGAATATGTATCATGGTCAACTGGGCCCACGTACATGACTACACCAGCAATATCTATTATTAACAGAGGAAAGGAACACAAGAAGGATGATTACATTGTCCAAAACAAAGTGTGCTTAGGAGGTATTACCTGTGGAAAGAGGTGGGGTATGCGACTGAGGTACATTAGCAGTGACACTTTTTGCTGCAACTTTCTTTTCTAGTCGGGCCAACCGGAGCTTCTGCAGGTGTTGAGCTTTCTTCTCTTCGGACAGACCGGTGTACCAACCTTGTTTTTTGCATGCAACATTAGTAACCGCAGGTTGACGATCAGAACTCCCGAAGCTTGCAGTTGTACCTGAAATAAGTGGCAAAAAAAAGGAAAAGAAATGGATGATTAAATTATGCATGATGCAATGCAGTAAAGTTCCAGAGATTAGGAATGTATCATATCTACCTGTGTTGGTTATATCGGTGAAACGCGTACGTTGCAGAGACAAACATGAAGAAGAATGTTGTTGAGATACTTGCTGACAGTTGGCATTAGCAGCCTTTTTCTCAGCCCGTGCCTGATGCCATTTCAGGAGGTATTCAGCCTTCTTTTCATCAGACATTCGGGCATACCATCCCTTGCTGCCCTGCGGTTTTATAGCATGCACAGTCTCATACGCGTGATTATCTTTCCCTGATGTGGAATTGTTTGTAAGGTCCGTAAACTGGGAACGATCATGATTCTCTGACAGCGACGGAGAATCACCGGAATAAGTATGTTCGCATCTGCTTGAAGAGTGAAATCCGTATAACGGTGAGAGAAGTCGAGGTAAGGCAAAGTTTAGGTAATCACCTAAATTTAACGGTGAGAAAAGTTGTGGTAATGCAAAGTAAACTATGTTTCCATCAGATTGGGTAGCAGCTTGCTGAAATTGTGTATTTGCTGAAACGAACATGAAGCAGCAGGTATCTGAAAATAGAAAGAATACAGGGGCAAACCAACGAACCGAGGGGCGACCGACGGGCATCGGTGCGGACGCCCTCAGGCAGGCAGCGCCCCAGGCGGCGGCGTCCCCGCCGTCCAGCGGGCGGGAAGGCGTCGGCCCTGCCGTCGAGGCGACGGGAAGGCGGCGGCGGCGGCCCTGCCGTCCAGGCGACGGGAAGGCGGCGGCGTCGGCCCTGCTGTCCAGGCGGCGGCGGCGGCGTCGTCGATGCTGTCCAGGCGGCGGCGGCGGCCCTGCCGTCCAGGCGACGGGAAGGCGGCGGCGTCGGCCCTGCTGTCCAGGCGGCGGCGGCGGCCCTGCTTGAACGGCGGCGGCGCAACGCGATGGGGGTGTGCGACGCGACGGGGGCGCAGCGTGGGGCGGATGGAGGCACTGGGGCGGCGAAGGAGCGACGGGTCGATGCGATGCGGCGGTTCCTTTGCTGCGAAAGGAAAGGGATCAAGGAGAGGATAGAAACGATTGATTAGCGCTAAACGTGTTTAGTCGCTCGACATTAGGACAATAAGGACCGTTGGATTAACGCGATCAGATGGTTGAGATATGTTGAATCTGCCCATTTGGATCTTTTTATATTGGTACTAGTAGACTGCCCGTGCGTTGCCACGGGCTAACAAAACACCTGAAAAGGATAAATATGCTAACAAAAATGTATATACAAAGAGAAATGTCATGTAGAAGTCATACATTGATATGAATCAATGTTCTAAATAGCGGACTATGCCAAATAGCGGCCCTCCATATCATCTATTGCGACGCTATAGACCGCTATACCCAGCTATTTTGCAAGTTTAGCGGGTTATGCCATTGTCTCTGGCTGATCAAACCGTTATAGATAGGCTATAGCTAGCCTATAGCAGGCTATTTAAAAATTTGATATGAATAGTCATTAAATATCAATTCAGCACAACTGACAATCTATCATCTGCTTCAAGATTGACACATGTGCTTATCATACATCAATCTATTCAGGAGTGTTACATTATCAGACAATTTGTTGAGCACATGGTAGCTATATAAATAGTCCAGATCTCGTTCATGTTGACAGAAATTAGCAATGCTCACAGCTACATACGAAATCGGCCAGAGACAATTTTCTAGCTTCTTTCTATTTTTACAGTGTCACATGCTGAATTTCCAAAGATTGAACTTCTTAATAATGACAATCCTTCATGTCTATGTAGGAGCTTTATGGTCGATCTAGACAATAAATTGCTCCGATGCTGGCGAGAAATCTTCCATTCGAGCTTCCATCGCCCCTCCGCCGCACAGATCTGGCCATCTCCACTCACTCCCCTCATAGGCGGCAACTGCTTGATATGTTAAGACACTCATTGTCGTCCCCACCCACTCCCCTCATAGGAACATTGAACCGTAAAAATATTATCAGCGTATTAGGCTTGCATCATGAGTTATATCTTCGCTTCTATGAACACATCAAGACATAGAGCTTTTGTGTTTGGTAAGAAAATTAAGCAGATATGAAGGTAAAATGAAATCATCAATATAATTCCCGCATACACTACTACATGGAATAACATGGAACCGAGGATAAAGTTTAATTTAGTACTCCCTCTGTTTCTCAATATAAGGTGTATTATTTTTTTTTTAAGTCAAACTTCTCTAAGTTTGACCAAGTTTATAGACAAAAATACCAATATCTAGAATACCAAATCATTATCACTAGATTCAGCATGAACTATATTTTTACATTTTATATATTTAGTATTATAAATCTTTATATATTTTGCTGTAAAGTTGGTCAAACATAGACAACAGTTGACATTTTGAAAAACTAATACACCTTATATTTAGGAACAGAGGGAGTATTTGGTAGGTTACACATTATAATTTGTCTTCAAACAACCAGCAGAGAGCAACTTAGTTAAATTGTCCCATTATGAGGACAAAAAAAGAACCTTCCTAAGTCCTTCCTACCTTTTGTATTGCCTGCATTTATAGCACAGACTTAACTTTTGCAATCAAGATTTGAGTTTCCAATTAATATGATGTGTTGCAGATTTTGTAGAGTGAAGGTTGAATTTGCCTCTTATTACCTTCCAAGCGATTTGCTTTGCATGGTACCCAGTCGCTATATGGTCGGAATCCGATGAGAGCATGACTTTATTGTGATCATCATCTTCGTACTGTCAAATGGTATTAGGAAAAGAAGAAACCTTAGAGAACTGACAGTGATATAGGTATATAGGCACATATATAGAGAATGGAGCTTGAACAGTACCAGAATTTGAGGTAGGTTCGATTTATCAATGGAGCTTGAACAATAGTATAAATTACTGGGCATGACATGGGAAAAGAAAGAGCGATGATATAACTCCAGTTGTGTGACACCAAAATGAGTGTGCATACCACAGTTAAATTTGTGCATCTTGCCTTGTTTGTCCTGAATCTTGAACCCAAAAGTGTTTGATAAGCCTCAAGCCGGAAAGACGGGCTGAACCATGGAGATGTGAATTTAGTTAAAATAAAATATATAAAAAGGGCAACCACTGAAAACTGAATATTTCATAAATTGGAGAGCTAACAGAGAGAGAGAGAGAGACGATGTTTTGTGCTGTGTTCAGTCTACAGCTTTTCTTCTCCCTCCTCTATTTATTGAGTGATTACAATGCTAACTGAAAAAGGGAAAAGCATGACATATCCGAGTTGTGAGTGCCGCCATCCTAGAACTCCTTGCACACCTCTCTGCATCATCGCCGTGACTGTTGTGCCGTGCCATCCCACGATCCAATCATTGCGAGGATCTATCCTAACAATCTAGGACATCGTCACAGCTTGGTATGTTTCTGCTAAAGTTTAACTGAAGAAAACAAGCTGACGAAACTGAGTTCAAACAACTACAGCTATGACTCAAATAAAACTGAATTTTCTGAATATTTCGACAGCAGCTGTTAACTCAGTAATCACAAGACCACCTTTCTAAGAAAATCAGGGTACCAATAGACAAAAGCAAGCATGGAGACGAAGCTTAAATTTTAGAGGGACAACCCATACGTCTACCAGTGTTATACTATTATCAAATAGCAAAATTATGATGAAATTGGATTTCAATGTAGAAGCATATATATAGATTATTTAAAAACATGGCATCGCTATTGTGCATAGTTGAATGTAAGGTGGATTGGGTAAATCTCATGATATACTTCAGCCCATGGCCCATGTAGCCTTGTAGAGACCATTCAGGGAGGGTCAAAATTCAACTTGTCGTTGAGCAGTCTTGGAACATGTTTAAGGTATAAACATGCAAGGCTGCCAAGCCCCAGCAAGACTTCCATGGCGCTGCTGTCAAGAAACATGCCATCAGGGTCTGACACATGTTCCAGGAAGCAAGTGCTCATTTCTTTGCTAGGAAATTTACTTGATAGAAGCTCTATGCTGTAATAACTTTTGTTGCCTTGCCCTGAAACCGTTTCTTCTGTAGGGGCATAAATTGCAGCAAACTAAGATATGACACTCTTTACATGTAAGTGGTAGATTGCATAATCATATAAAGTATAGAAGAATTGAAGGTTAATGGACTTACATTACCGAAGCAAAAATGTGTGCAAAACAGGACACACAACCTGCTCAATTTTACTTAAAATGAAACAAAACAAAAATAGTCGTGATCCAAAGGCCAAAAGGCAATTTAAAAAATGGCATCTTAATAGCATAATATTGCTTACGAACATCTAATAGAGTAGAAACAGGTAGTTCGAAGGAACAATCTATATTTTTGTAGATTAATGAAATCGCCGGTGCTCCTTATGTAACAATTCTGAATTCAAAACCATACTGGAAAGGACACTTTGCCAAAATAAGTAGTACTTAAATTCACTATCTAAACACATGCACTTGGGATATAGCTCCCATTGCTAAACACACACGCACCTGTCAGCGCACGGGCATCCAGATAACAAAGATATGTCATTTTTTTGACAAAACAAATATTTCTCGCTTTCTCAAGTGTAACTACATTTACACATGTAGAAGAAAAAGTGGGAGAAATACTGAAGATACAGGGTGTCCGCCCAACCTTTATTTCCGGCAAATACGCTCGATCGACGGATGACAGGTGCAATAAGTCAATGAAAGGAAGAGTTCTCTTTGATGTTGGGTCGTGACTTCTTAGAAGGATCCTTATTTGGGTCATGCCCTTGCCTGATGGCTGCACATACGTCACACACACGACGTACCGAACCAGTCATCACAAAGGTATGAACAGGAACAGCAGAACACAAACCACCAGCCCTGGCGCATGCCACGCGCGAACCCCAGCGGGCTAGCGCCTAGCAGCAAGCAGCAGGAGCGTTTGTGCCGGAGGCCAAGGTGGACGGTGAAGACGCACGCCCTGGCGCTAGAGGCTAGCAGTGAGGAAGTCTCATGTGCTGTAGTCTCGGCTGACCTACCTCGAAAAAATTTGGTCCTCCGCCTTTGATGAGCGGTAGCATGCTGACTAAACAGCTCATGAAATTCTAGTCCATTTTACCGGCATCTAAAACAGTAGTATTCGCCTATATCTTTTTTTTCCTATTTATAACAATAGGAATTGTGAATGTATAGACTTTACCTTGGCTTTAATTATCCTGCGGCCATCAAACCCTATGTTTTTAAGGCGACGCCTTACCGCCTTAGGGAGGGGGGGCGCTTTGGCGCCTAGGCGACGCCTAGGCGGGCGCTTTGGACGCCTAGGCGCCCAAAGCGGTCGATTTTCCAAAGCGGAGGGGGAGCGCTTCGACGCCTAGGCGTCGCCTAGGCGTCGCCTTAGGGACGCCTTTAAAACATAGATCAAACCCACTGCATATGTCTCAGTTGAACAACAATACACTACAGAAGAGTACTCTTGTATTATCTACTTAATCTAAAAACCATTCGATCTTCACTAAAACTGCTTTCTGAACTCCATTAATGTCATAATAAAAAGTCATGAGGGCGAACGAACCATGATGTGCTTACCATGGCAAAGAAGATGTCACGATAAGGCAAGCAAGATCTGAATTAGAAAGAACCCATCACGTACTGAAAATTCTTGAGTGTGAGAGCACACCTGCTACACACACGGGTAATGAAGACAATGGCAATGGAGGAGAAGATTGAGATCAACGCACCTGTGATGGCGTCCTCTGTGGAGCCGATATTCCGGTCATTGGACCGCACCTGTGATGGCGTCCTCTGTGGAGCCGATATTCTGGTCATTGGACCTTGACGCGACCTTGTACTCCACCTGCTCTTCCAAACGAGATATTCCTCACGCCACCCCGCTGCAAATCGACCGCCCCGCCTAGCCTGTTACATGTGAAAGAAAGCTATGACTGTGTCAATTCCTGTAGTATCTCTCAATATACAAGCAACACTACATGTCTTTGCTTATGAAGTTATAAACACCTTTGTATTCGCTAAAAGATGATCATGATATTTCTGTGACAGCTCAAAGTACTGCCCGGCTGAGTGATGGCTGAGCTCGACCGGCGCGCCTCCAACAGCACCAGCGTCCAGACCTACACCTACCTTAGTGTGCCGGTTATCGGCAGAACCATCTCCCTCTACACGCTTTCCGCGGAAACACTGACGACCAATGATTCAGATACCGGATCAAGAAGTACTGCTGGTCTCCATCATGTTGCTGCTGGGCTCGTCTTTGGTGCTGCTGGTGGGACAGTGGCAACTGTTTCATATTCAACATCAACGGAGACGTTTTGATGCAAACAAGTATGATGACAGTGGATAGGCAACATGGAGCCAGCAATTTGATGAGCATTTTTTACGGTCGCACTCCACTTTTCCATGTCTTGGTTACCGGGTTGGGGTCACCTACAAAAAAAAGGTGAAAATGCATGCTACCATGAATACTGTCTTCAGTACAGAAAATAACAAGCCTAATCCTTGTACATGCTATGGTGTCTTCCCAGGGCAAAGTTTATGTGCGAGCATCCATAACCGAGGTTAAACTGACCTACATAGTTGTCAATCAGCCCTGGGCGCTCTCAACTATAAGCTGAGGCTGCTTGACCAACTACATATTTCTCAGTCTTACAATTGATTGAAGTTTTAATAATATAACCACATTTTAGCCCAAATTTTGAGCGGGATCTCAAAGTCCATCTGCTTGAAGCACACATGAAGGCAAAGTAGAACATGAAAAATAAGACATAAGGAATCAGGACAACCCTATCAATTTTGTCCGCATCAAGGACAAGGAGGGTTGCAACGACCAAGATCAGATGCTTTGAAGGCATGCAAGAGCTGTAGGGGTGAAAAGGGATCATGCTCGTACCTGGTTTGAGAGTATCACCATCTGCCTGAGCCTTCTTCAACTCTGGTCATGGCCTGATTGAGCCTACTTTTCTTCATCTACATATAGAAGAGAAGAAATGGTTTGTTTACTTCGAGTAGTTGAATGAAAGATTAGAGAAAGGAATGAGGAGGCAGCCTCGACTGTGAAGACCTGTGGCAGGAATGGGGGTGGAGCGTGCTCATCAGTTGTCACGGCCCATGCTGGCGGCGTGTGGGGATCCGAAGCGACGGCGGCGTCCTGGTGATCCGAGGACACACAAAACATCATTCAAATGAGAATCTTTTACTGACATAACATATTTTGGATTTGTTAGCCCGTGGCAACGCACTGGTTTAAGAATCTTTTACTGACATAACATATTTTGGATTTTCCTTTGCACATGTTTGATTGAGATTAATTTTGAACTTCCTTTGCCCATAGTAATATATCAGAATCAGCGCCCGCAGAGAATGTAATTTTCATCATAGGTAATCCACAATGGAGTATCAATTTCAGAAAATAAACAACATACTGACCAAAATATATTATGAAGTAAACTGTACAAGATTCAGCTTACCTTTTCCTTGGGAAGAACCTTTCCAATCATTTTATTGGTTCATCTGTCTCTAGTAAGGCACAGACCAACTTCCCTCTATTTGTAGTCTGTAGACATGATCCCAGCGTAAGGTTGAGCAAGCAAACAACTCACATATTGCTGGAAATGATTTAGAAATTATATATTGCTGGAAATATCACTGGAATTTTAATTGTCGGAAGCACATAAGCTAATTTCAACCCTTTGTCAAAAGCCAAAATGAAGGCAACCACATCACATCCCGTGAGATAGAAGATTAGAGAACTTACCATCAAGATGGAAACTGGGACGGGTTCCCCTCCGTTGGATGTTTGTAGACGACATCATAATCGAGACAAGTCATACTATGCCTCTGATGCGTCGGATATTACCAAACGGACAACGGAGGCTTCGCCAGTTCACGAACCCATGGCGTCCACTCCTCGTCGACTCTCATTCCTTCGCCGGCATCATGGGTCGGGCATCAACGAACAGTCTCCCATTGCTGTTGAGCACGACCTCCAACGTCACAACACCAAAG